AGACAGTTTTTTCTAGTTTTTCTAGTTTTGCCTTTGGACATAGAGTCAATGTGTAACAGTGGTGCAGAACTTTAGCTTTAATTCAGTGGGTTTAACAAAAACGATTATATTAACTTTTGAAGAATTACTGACATTTTTATACTTAGTACCGCCTTGCAGCAAACTTCAGTTGCTGCTTGTTTGTGCGTCCCTTTCAGTTTTTTATCTCACAAACCATACTGTTACTTTTGCAGTATGCTTTGGGTCATCATCCATTCACACTGTGAAATGCTGTCTGATCAGTTTTGCTATGTACAATTTAGCATTTATCCTGATAGTTCTCTCAGCAGCCACATCATCAATAAACACGAGTGACCCAGTTCCACTGAGAGCCATTCATGGCCACGCCATTACATTCCCTGCACCATGTTTGACAGATAATGCGGTATGATTCAGATCATGAGTGTTTCTCTCCTTCATACTTTTGTCTTCCCATCTGGTGCAAGTTAATCTTGGTTTCATCTGGCCAGAACGTTTTGCAGAACTGTGCAGACCATTTTAGATGTTTTTTGGCAAAGTCGAATCCATGTAACCAGTGGTTTGCACCTTGTTGTAAACCATTTGTATTTCCATTCATAAAGGCTTAGTTGTGTAATTGTTTTTCTTAACCATGGAAATAATTCTCTCATCATGCACTTTAGTTGTCTTCTGTGGTCTTTCAAACTTTTTAGTGTTGCTGAGTTAGCCGGTTCAGATTTTTTTTTCCTTTTTTAAGACTGAAGCAGATGGGCGATTTGGACATTCCTAAAATTTTTGTTATCTCTTTGATAGATTATTTTTGATTTTCTACCCTTATTAATCCCTACCTTACTTACACCAATATATCCTTGCAATGAAAAGCTATACTATTGAAATTCAGCACTTTGAAGCAACTACTTATACTTGTTTAATAAAAAAGTGCTTTAGTGTTATTACTCACTTGTATGTAAGTGAATAAGTTCATTTATCAATTCCAATTACATTTTTTCTTCTTCTGATACTTTCAAATTTCCTCCTTGAAGAAAAAATATCTAAACATATCTAATCCATAAACCAGCTCACCTTGACGATTTGCATATACATTCTCATTCAAATAAAAACATATACAGAAAGACAGATACAGCTAATGGCTAAAGCAGTTAGACTGTGCATGAATTAGAAACTGTATGTGAAAGGCTATGTCTGCCATAACAGAATGGCAAGTTTAGTTTAAAGACAGAAAACCCCCACATGTCCCGTTCCACATGTGCACACATTTCCACATCCAAGTTCAGAAGATGCACATAAACGTGAATATAAAGTCCATAGTACATGTGTAGATTTTCTCTGCATACACATTTACTCCTTTATAATACCACAGTTATGTTTTTGTGTGCTGCAATTATTTTTGTTATTGTGTCTTCCACTTGCTGTTACTTATGCTTTCCGTGAAGGAAGGACCTCTTTGATTCTCTTTTCCTCTTTTGCCCTCCCTACCTCCTCCTTTTTGTGTTGTTACGTGCCAAAGTTTTCTGAGAGGGGTATTCCTTGTTTTGTTTTGTTTTTTTCAGAGACTTTGCGCCAGCCTGGGTCAGGAACTGTTTCTGTTGTGGCGCAGCAAAGCTCTTTGAGACATTGTATATGATATCGGTCTGTACAAATAAACTTATCATGACTTGTTTGCAACTACATCATAGTTACAAGGCCAGGATATGTTTGAATCAGAGTGGTTCTTTTGTACACTGTCAGTCAGCCCAAGTCGTCACTTTCCCATGATTTGCTGTTATTTGTTCTTCTCTCTGCTTACTAAAAAGGTCACCTGGCATTTACCATGAGGTTTTAATCGCCATGTAAGCTGGAGAACACGCAAAATGGCTTTTACCGTAATAGAATTTCAGGGGCCTTAATTTTTGCCAGCTGTGAGCTGTTTGGCTTCGGTATTGACAGAAATGTTGACGGACCACAGGCCTACCCATGAGGAACCCTCATAACAATAAATGCTGCTTCTGGGTGTGCTCACATTTCTTATTCTATTGTTAATGGATTGGATTTTGATTATCTTTACCTAATTCTGATATGAAATCACTTACAAGATATCCCCTTTTAAGCTATCGCATTTGAAAGTCTTGAGTAGAAATGAAAAACACGCATAGACACAGCCAAACATGTGCGCCAATATGTGTGCCAATAGCTTGTAAAAAAAACTTCCACTTTAGCAGTTGAGTCATACATCATTTTGCACGTGTGAACATATTCAGTTAATCAGCCCATTCTCTACTCCTAGGGATGCATACACACACAAACCCTCCTCACGTTTCCTCTCCTGTGATACCAGATGAAAATAGACATGCACGTCTTCTCCATACTCTCTAAAACAGAAGGTGGTATGCAAGGGGTTACCAAAGTACACATGCTTGACCCCAATCCTGCACTATGAGTTATGGCAGCAAATTATTCTTCTTGTAGATTTTGGTAATGATCTCTAGAAAATTGTGTTTCAAAACTAGTATGCTAACTTATGTTGATATTGTGAGGCCAAGTTCTAAAACACAAATGTGTATTTTAAGTTCTCTTCAACTCTTTTGTAAGTGGACTGGTATTTATATAGCACGTTTCTGCTCTTACTGATGCTCAAAGCGTGTTAGAAGGAATTTAGAGTTGCTTTCAAGGTAGAGATCAGGCACGGTAATCTGTCTTTATTATTCTGAACAAAATCTGAATGCTTTCAATTTTTGTTAGCTCTGCTTTTTTATAGTTGCATGGTGTGAGCAAAATTTCAGAGTACTCCTCACCACTCTCAAGGTGCCAGAACTGTCAGTGTTCCTATGAAGGATCAGTCTAAAGGACTAGGTTGTGTTGTGCTGTGCTGCATAAATTGTATTGTAAATTAGTAGGGAAAGAGGGTAGGTTCATTGGTTTAACAATTTGTTGTAAGAGTAATTAAAATATTTATTAGTTATGTAATACCCACTATGGTCTTTGGTGACTCTTTGAATTGATAATTGTATAATAATTTGTCTTTTTGATCAGCTAATTAATACCAAATGCTGCTACTTAAATATACGTTCTGTACCGTATGTCCAGTAATACCTTACTAAATCATTAATTAACGTAAACCGAGCACATCCTTAGACTGTCCAAGGAAGCCAGTGTAGCTGGAGGAAACCCATGCAGGCACATGGAGAACTTAAAGTGTTAAGAAAACTCACTTGTGCATCTCTAATACAAGATAAGTGAGTTATGAATTGATGGCAGTTACTGGGTAATCTACTACAGCTCTTTCATTTAATCCTTTCATCTATTTTTACTTGTCACTATTTAATTTATGCAAAAATCATGTCCTAGAAGGTTTGTGTGAATATGCTATTTCAAATCTTCAGAGAGATATTTTTGTTGTCTGCCAAGTTTTTGAAAGTGTCGTTTAAACCAAGCAAATAAAAAAAACAAGAATTTTGTCTTAGCAACAAACAATAACTTACTAGTCAGAGACTAAGCTCTCAGTTTGTCAGTAGCCCTGTCACTTGATTTTTGCAAGTCAGAATAATAATAATAATAATAAAAATAAAAATGACAAATCTCCCCAACTTCTCCAAAAACTTCTGAAGTATACTTTAGTGGCGTTTCAACTTTTTGATTTACCCTGATCATCAAAACATCCACTGACGACATCATTCTTCTCCACGACCACATCCAAAATCATAAAACATAATCATAAAACTCACTGCCTTTTTTCTTGTCCAGCCTCGCTCTTTACTAGTTCTCTCCTGACCTTTTTTTTCTTTTTTTCTTTTACTGAACATTTGTGCATGCTGTGTTTTTTGTATTATTTTTTATTTTTTTAGACTCTGTGATGGAACAGATTTGGTATTTGGTATTATTTGAGTTTTTTTATTGTTGAAAGTTGCTTAAGGTGAAAGATAAAGTTTAATTTCTATTTGAACTGTGCGCTACAGGACATACCACCAACATCCCTGAGATGTTGTTTTGAACAAAACTGATACCAGTATTCACAACTTACTTTCAGCCTCACGTGGACTTTAACAACAATATAAATTAACACAGTTTGAGAGTGATGTTTAGAAAGGTAAGACCTTTGGAGGAGTAATCCTGTAATAGTGCTGGAATGTGTTTGGGGGCAACCTCCTATACACAGAGCTCTTTCTGTGAAAAGGTCAAATCATTCATTCGTGCAGTTCTTTTTCCTCTTCCTTGCAACCTTTTCTTACCATCCCCTTGTGCCCCACCAGCCAGACTCTCTGTGTTTATAATTTGGCACACGTATCATAAGCTAAAATTAAGCTGCCCTTTACCTCATGTAGAAATAGTTTAAAATCCAACTATTTGAGAGCTTTTAAACCACAGTAGTTTGACAGGTCTCGCCTTTTTTCCATCACCCCCATGAGTACTGGAAACTGATGTTGTGTATGCCTGTGTCTAAATGAACAATTGTGCATTGCTTTTCTTGCACAGCTTGTGAAGTAAGCTGTTTTTGAGACACCACTGTGTTCAAGGAGGTGTCAGTGTAATAGCAGCATGTACAATAAGTCAAAATGTGTATGAAATCCTGTTCTCTTTACAGTTCTGTAATGTAATGTGAATGGGTTCCTGACAGTAAAAAGTCCCATTTGTTATGGCCTCGGCTTGAGCAGGCAGAGGTGAAACAACATCATTCAAATTGCACAGTTACAAGAGCTCCATGCCTAAATGTAGAAATCCATTCATGACTAAGCTCGTGTTTTGCACTGTTGTTTTTCTTATGTTAAAACATGTGGTGGAACCAAAACATGTGGGATTGTTTCGCAATAGATGGAACAATAGATAAAATGCAATGTTGAAAGATACGTTTGCAATTGTTCATTTTTTCCCCCCTCAAAATATTTAATAGTAAAACAGGCCAAATAACATTTCCAAAGTGACCTTTTTGTAAGAACCTTTCTTTGGTTCAGACTTCAATTCGTGCTTTCATTGTTTTCCCTTTCCTTCCAATGTTATCTCTTTATAAGGTGAGGTCCTGAGCTTGATGGATGATCTGTTTTCTGGTTTGGGTTCGTCCTGTGTTGTTGCTGGGAGGAGGAGTGGAGACCATCCCCACTCTGTGCTATATTCAGTGGTCTTCAAGTGCCTGGAACCCGACAGCCTCTACAAGTAAGTCTCTTCTTTGCCCTCTGCCTCATTGAACTACACCAAGCCAATGGTGTTTGTCACTGCCTCTTAAGATCAGTGGGCAGAAACATATTCTCTCAATGGCCCTAAAAAATTAGAATTTTACAATGAAGGCCACCATGACAATGAAAATCAAGTTTAGATTGTTTGCTGCTCCATTATTCACCAAGAGCCAAGAGGTAGCTCCACATGTTTAATTTGGCCGGGTTCTCTTGCCGGATGGCCTTCCTGACGCAGCAACAAAGGGATTTGAGTCCCCTTCCAGGATCAAACTGGGGTGCTTTTGCTTGCTATGCAAATGTACAAAACACTACCCTACAGTATATAATACCAGTCGAGCATTTGGAAACACCTTCTGATTTAATGTTGTTGTTTTTTTTTAATTTTCATAACTCTTTAAATTGTAGATTATCACTGAAGGCATCAAAACTATGGAGCAGTTCGAGTATGGAGTTGAAGCAATGTCCAAACAAAAAGCAGTTCAAAAAGAGTTATAACAAAATGATCTTCATGAGTGATAAAGAAAAGGAAAATATTGAAATTCAGTCAATGTCTCTGTTTAGGAAATTTTATTTATGCTCATTGAAACTGGAGGTATTGGTGTGGAGGTAAAGTTATAGGATCACAAAAACATAATGATATGATGTAGTGTCTATATTATATTAGAAATCTGTTCGTCATTATTACTGCAGATTATATCAGTAAGGAAGCTGATTAAATATAGACTGATAACTTATGGCAAAGAGTGGGATTAAATAAGTGTGTACTTCTTCCCACTCCTTTTCGATATGTAACTGAATCACTACAGGTGAAGTAATATTGAAATATATTAGCTTTAATTTGTATCTTTTTTTTCTTCTTTTATTTGCTAAATGAACTTTGTATATTGTTTACATAATCCATACTATGAATGAACACGTATGGAATTATGTAAAAGTGTTAAATAGCTCAAAACATGTTTTATATGCTAGATTCTTTAAAGAAGAATCCCAAACCATTTCGATTGGGTTTAGGACTGTGGAGGCCAGGCCATTTGGCGCAGCACTCCATCACTTTCCTTCTTGGTCAAATAGCTCTTACACAGCCTAGAGGTGTGTTTGGGGTCATTGTCCTGTTTGACAAATAAATATTCACCTTTTCTGCACCGCACAAAGACACGGTGGGTGGAACCAAAGATCTCAGATTTCGACTCATCAGACCAAAGCACAGATTTCCCCCTGGTCTAATGTCCATTCCTTGTGTTTCTTGGAACAACAAAGCTCTAATGCTTGTTGCTTTTCCTTAGTAGTGGTTTCTTTGCAGCTATTTGACTATAAAGGCCTGATTCATGCATTATTAGTGTCCTCTGAACAGTTGATGTGGAGATGTGTCTGCTACCGGAACGCTGTGTGGCATTTATCTGAGGTGCTGCTAACTTGCGATTTCCGAGGCTGATGACTTGGACTGATGAATTTATCGCCAGTAGCAGAGGTGACTCTTGGTCTTCCTTTCCTCATGTGAGCCAGTTTTGTTGTAGTGTTTGATGGTTTTTGTGAATGCACTTGGGGACACATTCAAAGTTCTTGAAGTAATGATAGACTGCCGTTCCTCTTTACTCTTTACTGTACTAACCTGACTTCTGCACAACACAACTGATGGTCCAAACCCCATTAATAAGGCAAGAAATTCCACAAATGAACCCTGACAAGGCACCCTGACAGGTGACTACATCATGAAGCTCATCGAGAGAAGGCCAAGGGCTTGCAGCGCTGTCAAAAAAGCAAATGGTGGCTACTTTCAGGAATCTAATAATCTAAGCTTATTCAGCCTGTTTTCATCCACAGGGTGTCAAATATGGCTTCTGTCAAAAAGCTATTTTTCTGTGTTTCATAGATAACTACAAGGTGTACTGTGTGACTCATGCTTGAAAAAGACCCCTGTAGTGTCAAAGTTTCACACACTTGATAGGATCATTTCTCACCATTTAGGTTTAAAGTAACCAGTAACCTTGTATTTCTTAGTGCCTTAACTAAACCAAAAAACTTTGAATACTTAAACATAACCAGACAGTGAGTGAAAGAAATTTTAAGGCTGGTTCAACTTTCCAAATGTAACATGAGTCACAGTCTCCTGGTTGTATCATCCAGATCATTTTAGTCCTAAATGCTTGAATATGTTTCAAGATGTTTGAAGACATTTCACTTCTAATCTGAGAGGCTTCCTCAGCTCCAAAAACTGATGGGGAGTTCCAAGTAATTCATCCATTATAATTTTGTCCTCTTTGGAGGTGATCCTGAGAGTTATTTACTCCCCAGTCATCATGTGAATCGTGAGGGGTCACATGAGCCAAGGTGTGAATTAAGCCATTGGTCATTGCAGTCACAGGAATCAAGGTGTGAATCCTTTGTAAGCCATTGCCTCACTGTGCCATTGTGTGAGATATTAAGGGTCACATGTTCGAGGTGTGAGTAGGGGTTGAAATGCCTGGGAAGTGATCTCAAGACTGCCTTTCAAGTAGCTGATAGTTGGTGTTGGAGGCCACCTCTTATGTTCAATAATAGTTGTTCCCAGTGGACAAAGTTGGCCTCCTCTATTTCTCACTCAAATCATTTGTCTCCTTGGTCCAAACTTTGGAACTTTTCAAACCTTGAAAGTGTGTATTTTTTGTCCTTTGAATGCACATGAAGGAGAAAGGACACTTTGTGCTGAGGATTGTTATCTCTCGACGTGAAATATTGCTGCAGCCTTGTGTTTAAGCACCACCATCACGTCACCTCACCTCACATATCCTGTCTTCTTTTTTTCTACCTAACCGGTCACAGCCACCCCTCCCTGAGCCTGGTTCTGCTCGAGGTTTCTTCCTGTTTAAAGGGAATTTTTCCTTCCCACTGTCGCCAAAGTGCTTGCTCATAGGGGGCTGTTGGATTTTTTCTCTGTATGTATTATTGTAGGGTCTACCTTACACTATAAAGTGCCTTGAGGCGACTACTGTTGTGATTTGGTGCTGTATAATTAAAATTGAATTGGAGCCTATCCCAGCTGCCATAGAGTGAGAGGGGAGGCACACAGGCCACCAGTCTGTCACATTGAGACAGACTAAAGTTTATGACAGTTCAATTAGAGAAAAACTGAACAAGTTTTTTTGAACACCTCAGGCCACGGTTGTCTGGCCCTAATGCACAGTGCCGCTTTTGGTGAAAAACAATATTACTAGTCATTCAAGGTAGTCGAGGTCTGATGAAAAAGGCCTGTTTTTTAACCATTTGATCTGGGCATATATCTAAAAAAAACAAAAAAATACAAATTAAACTCGCACGTTACAGTGCTCCAGTCAAACTCTAGAAGTCAACCCAATTGAAATGCTGTGGAATGACCTTAAATAAAGAGTTATGCATAAAAGAATGCCTGCAGATTTTAATAAACTGAATCAATGCTGTAAATAAGGGAGGGAAGAAAATTTCTCTGCAACAAAGTGAAAGACTGATAAGGTCACACAGAAGCAATTTCTTCAAGTTATTGCTGCTAAAGGTGGTTTGTCAAGCTACTGAAGCATGGGGTTTGCTTAGTTTCACAGGACTGCATATAGTCCTGTAAGCTCAGCTAACACTGATTTAAAGGTTATTATAAGTTGTCATTATTAAAATTCAAACGTCATCAGAGATTGCAGTATGTCACCAAGAGAGCATACTCATTTAAATTTGTATGTCATTCTCTGGCACATTTCTGGGTTTCAAATCATAATTTATTGCAACTAAATCGATTTGTCTCATTTTTATGATGTTCATTTTTTTCCATTACCATAGAGTTTAAAAACCTTCCATTAAGCACTATGTTGTGATTATATTTTCAGCTTAACAAAACAACAATAGGCAAATACCAGCAATTCCACATCCTCCCCGGATAGGGCACACTTCCTACTACATATATTATTTTTGTTTTAGTGGGTACATTTTTGTTACTTTCTCCTCAGCAACAGCTGGACTGACTTAACCAGGGTTGCATACTTATTGTCAACACTGCAGATGCTTCCATTCTGTAATGTTCTCAGTCACGATCAGAGGTTTTAAGAAACAGCATTTTTAAATTCAAAGAACAAATTCAACACAATTGCAGTAGTAATTTTGCAGTACCTGAGCATCTAAGATTAAATAAAATTCAGTTAAAACTGCATCTCAGCAATTTTGCTCTTATTATTTTTCTGTAGGTAGAAATGTGTAGTAAAAGTGATTATTTAATTTATTATTTTTATATTATTTTGAATACTGTAGCTTTACCAATAGCACTTAACCAGAGAGTGGTTTGTTCATGGTGTAATCAAGAGTCATGGTGCCCTGGTGTCTTGTCTTCACTAATCAATAAACTAATCAATTATCTGTGCTCTATGCACATTAATATAAACCCACTTTGTTAGGTACAACTGCTTATTAGGGCAAATATGTAATCAGCTAATCAAATGGCAGCAGCTCAGTAGATTTAGGCATGTAGACATGGCCACGATGATCTGCTGAAGTTGAAACCAAGCATCAGAATGAGGAAGAAAGGTGATTTACTTAGAACATGGCACGGTTGTTGTCGAACCTTGAAGCAGATGGTCTACAGCAGCAGAAGACCGCACTGGTTGGCACATCTGTGTGCCCATCTTCTGATAGTTGCTTTCAGCAGGATAGTGGGCCATGTTGCAAAGTTCATCTTATTAAATCATCTTAAACTGCTTATTTGAACATGACAATGAGTTTTCTGTATTTAAACAGCCTCCATTGTCACCAGATCCCAATCTAACAGAGCACCTTTGGGATGTAGTGGAAAGGGAGATTCACATCACGGATGTGATCGTGTCAATATAGAGATTGACAGACCACGTGACTTTCGCGCATTGCATGCCGTGAACTCGTGGCAAAACAATCCAAGTACCGCATCAAATGCAAGCATTTGCAGCACCGCAAAACGTTCATTCTTCGGTTCCAATAAATTCTTGCTTTTTCTTTGCCCTCAAAAAGGTATGT